CCAACTACTTTCAACTTGAGCACTTGGAATGATACCGTATACTTAATCTTAGGTTTCTCTTCTGTGGACTGAAGTCAGCCCTTGAAACCATGTCAATTTTAGCATACAGTATCCTTTGACCAAACAGATACTTTGCTCACAATCTTGCACCAAGAGCTTGCTTCTGTTTCTTTTGAGCATGGCTGTTACTAGCTTCATGTGATGCTTCCTGGTTTCTGTCTCAGAAGAGACATTCACCTGTCAACCCTGGCCACTTACTGCATGTCACTTTTGATTTTACAGATCACTTATCACAGCCTCCTTGCTAGCCTTTTTCCCTGACTGTACAGCCCTACTGTAGTTTCCTCAGCATGGCAGCTGCTCTGCCCCGCTGATAGCTTTGGGTTTGTTCTAAACTTTTTCCATTTCTACTATGTCCTTTCTTGAAATGAAGAGAGCATTGAAGTTGTGGGAAAACTATCCATTTTTACAGTGGCACAAAGATGTTTGCTGTTTTGTTCTCTATTTCTTTCACAGTATTTCCTAGCATTCACTTGCTCTTATGACAGCTATTGAGTGTCAAACTGTCCTCATAGAACTAACAGTTTAGTAGAAACCTGCTTTATTCTGCTTTTCTGGCTTCCTAAAAGATAGCAAATTAAAGAGCAATTCTTTACATGAAAAGAGTTAGTACATTCAATAGTTCAGATCCAGCATTGTCCTCTGAGCCTCGTGAATTTCTCTCCTAGACTTTTACAGGGTTTGGCCTTTAATGGGCATATTTTATTCCACTCCTACTCGTAAGAAATATTTTATTTTCTTCTTAAAAGTGGAAATACAACATTTCTGTAATGCTTGGTCAAGAGGAACTTGCCTCCTATTTTGTTCAGTCTCCTTGGCAGTATACCTATCTGAAGGTTGAAACTCTTGCTTTCTTTGGTGAAGGTTCATCCAGCAAACCCCATTCATGTGAGTTGTTAATTTTAGTACCGTAACTTCTCATCATGGTTCCAGCTGGGTATAGGTATAGTCCAGTCGCTGTCTCGTAAGTCATGTAACCAGTGAGATGCATCAGCAGATTTGGCATTTTTCAATAATGGAAGTGAAAAGGCAAAACTTTCACATCTGTCAGCTTTGGTAGCTTTGTTTGATTCTCCGCCACACAATGTTTGGGACTCTGAAATTGCAGGAGTACTGGACCTGGGTGAAGAGCCTGTCCACAGATGTGGTAAATCCATGGTCAGAAGCATGTTCACTTAAAAAAACAAACAATAAAAAAGAGATAACTTGGGACCAAGATTTGTGTGGGCTAGGCTGATGCTGTTAGAATGAAAATCTTATTATTGCCTTTTTTATATTAGATTACTAAAGAGTTGGTGTGTAAGATCCTATAAACACAGTGATAAAAAGGAATCTGAAAAGGGTACTGTGCAGTATCATCGCTCTTCAATTTCCACACACACAACTGTAAGGCTTAAAATTGGACACAGTGTTGCAAGTACAGGTTCACCAGTGAGGGGGAAATGAAATTCCCTCAGTTTGCTGGCCATGCTCATCCCCTTGCAGCCCAAGGTGTCGTTAGCCTTAATGGGCACTGCAGCATCCCCAGGTCCTTTGTAGAACTGCTGGTCAGTTTCTAGGCTTCTTTCAGCATGTTGGCTAGTAATAATTTCTTAATAATGGTTATCCCAGTATGCATTTGTTTTTTGTTTATCAAACAATGCAATTTGATTTTTACATCCCCTGTCTGATACTGCTCTTCAGTTCATAGTGTATCTGTTATTCTCTTTTTTTTAAATAATGGCATTCATAGAATTGTTTCTGGAACAGTTGTCCTATGGAGTAGCCAAATTAAGATGCTTACTTGAGAAACCTTCCTTTCTCTCACTAGTTGGTTAAGGCCGCTTACTCATTTTTCTAGAACTTATTATTATGTAAATGTCACTAGGAATGCAGAGGTTTAGATCATCCCTCATGAAATTTGGATTCTAGCTGGTGAAGGCAGTGAACTAAAGTCCTCCTTCCTTCTCTTTGTTTTTATGCCTAGGAGGGAATTGTGGTTCAGATGTTAGACAAAAGGCATTGCTAGCCAAATGGTTTTCGCATGGCCTTGTTAATAGTACTAATGCAATGCATAAAGACAACACATTTCAAAGAACAAATCATAGCGTCATAGAATCATAGAATCGTTTAGGTTGGAAAAGACCTTTAAGATCATCCAGTCCAACCATTAACCTACACTACCAAGTCTACTCTAAACCAATCAAGGGTGGGTATCTAGCAAGTGCAGGAGGCGGGTTGGGGGGCACTAGCTCTCCCTGGAGTATTCAGTTACTGTATTCGCACAGACCTTTTTGAATATTATTATACAACTTTGTCAAAGAATCTATATGTATTTCTATTAATATGCATACACATTGCCTTTTATATATTTAACATTGAGTAATGACAGAATCAAGGTGGAGAGTGTGATTTTTGGAATTACTAATATCTGATTATCAAGTGTGATGACCTTTTGTCTTCTGTAAATTCACACATGAGTTTTCAAAAGCTTTTTTTTCATTAATAGAAGGAAACATTGCAGGCTCTGAACAATCATGCATCTTTAGGATATTGATTGGTAGGATATTTGCAGAAGAGATGAATATTCTAGAACAGGTGATAGTGAGAACATCTTTCTGTCTAAAGGTAAACTCCAAGTGCTTACCTTTGGGCCTTTGATTCCTCAGTGGAATAGAAACATAACTTGGTTGTTTGGCTTTTTTTTTTAACCTACAGATTTTTGCCACATGATCATGGAAATGTATTGGTAAATGGTTGCCTGCAAAATACATATGGAGCAGCAGCAGAGGGCTCCAAAAAGCAAGCAACACATTATAATTTAATGTCTTAACAATTGGGTGGGGTGAGATTTCCAACCAGAAATGTGCAGCTCGCATGTGTAGTTTTTCATCACGCAGCTCTGTCAAGTTCTCTGAGCTAGATCTGTCATTAATCATACATGTGTAGGTAACAATAAGTGCACCTGGATTTCTTATAGCTTATTTCTTATATCTAGTTTGATAACTGAGGGCAAAGCTCAGACTGTGAGGACATGTACCCGAACTTTGTATATTCTAGTTTTCGGATTTCATGTTTTGCTTAATATGACATTTTGTAAGAGCTTGAGTTTCATTTTGGCAACCTTAATTCTGAGTTAAAAACACTTGTTATGTAAACCATTTAGGCAGTGTTGAACACCTGTTAGATGTCCTTTCGGAGTAGAGAAGAATAGTTAGTATTTTGTCCCTAAAGTGATTACAAGAAAATATTGAGTGGTTTGGGGTTTTTTGGTTTTTTTTTGTTTTTTGTTTTTTTTTAAGGAGAATACTAGTGTTAAATGTGAATCCAGTACGTCAGAGACAGAAGGGAGACAATTCACTTCAGGAACTGAGCCTGTGAACAAATCTGTAGAAGAGACAGACTCATCTGTAAAATCTAGATGCAGGAAAAGAAGACACAGTTCACACAAGGGCAAGTCCCCTGGTAAGAAGAGATTCTAAATTTTTTTTTAGAGATTACTGAGACAGCTACTCTGAAACTAGCTATTACAGAAAGAGGAGATCAGAATAGTTTAGTTATTGGCTGCAGTGTAAGTACTTCGTGGTGCCTTTAGTTAAAATATTATACTTGTTCAACCTCTTAGTATACTTACCAACATGCTTCTATAGATACGCTTACGCTAATTACTCTTATGTGGAAAAGGGTATAAATTATATCAGTAAATAAAACCTGAAGTTCTGGGAGTTGTGTCAGAAACCTGGATGTCACAATATTGAGGTGAAGTTGACAGATATGTTTGCTGGAGGGTGACAGTGCTACGAAGGAAATGCTGAGTAATGAGGTGAATATTGAAATAACAGGGAAAAAACCCACCAAACTGATGGAGTTGGTGTAGAAGTCCAAACCTTTTGTCTCAGATTGCTGATTAAATTTTGTACCAGTCTGCTGATATGTATGCTGAAATACATGAGAAAAACAAACTGCAGAACATCTGAGACCAAACAGCTCACAAATCTAGTAACTAAAGGAAAAACCTAAATGTCCACAGATTAGAGAGACATAAGAGGACACAAAGAGTACTTTGGTTCCATTCTAGAGGAAAAGTTGGTGCAGCCTGCAAGTCTTGCAAGAAGCTATTTCCCTCACAGCTGTTCATCAAAGAGCTGATTGTATAGTTTGAAGAGCTGTTGCTCACTTCAAAGGGTAGTTTCTAGATTCCAGATAATGATGCTAGTTAATAATTCAGCTCATAATGCCCATCAGTTGCAAATATTTAAGTAAGGAATAAAGTCTTTTTGTCAGGAAGCTGAGAAAAGAGGTTGGATGCCATCTTGAAAGAAGACAGGCTTTTGTTTAAAACACAGAATTGAGAGTTCTTGTTCAATTACTTCCTGGTATCATGGATAATTAGCAGACTTCTCAGCTTTCATATCTAAAGCAAAACATTTGCTTAATATACCAGTTGTAAAGTTATGTACAAGAACATTTTGGAAAGCATTTCCATGGCATTGGAAAGCTTTTCCATGGAGATGAAACACTGTTACGCTAATGCTAATTAACAACAATTAGCATAGAGTCTACACTCCGTGAAATGTGGTAGTCATCAGCTCTATGCTTCCACTGTTGTACTTTTTAGGCTTGGTGTACATGTTAAAGGGTGGAGACAGACAGCACACCTGAGCCAAACATGATCAGGCTCAAGTTGGCCCAAAATAAATTGGGCACATGATATAAGCCTCGAAGCTGGCGTAGCCCATCTCCTGCATCTCAAATGTAAGCCTGAAGCAGGCAGGTTTAAATATAAGCTGACTTCTGTTGCTCTGACTACATGTTTTTCAGTCAGTACCTCCTTTCCTCTGTGAGTCTTTGGAAACAACTTTTTCCTTAATCTTTCTGAGCTAAAATATTGCATTGTGAAAATTTCCAGGTGTTTCTTTACAACTTATCCTCTGAAAGTGATTGAATCCTGTCTGTCCTCTCTTTTCTTTTGGGCACTCCCTTGCAAGTTTTCTGAGTCTGCACTTTGATACGTATCCATAGAGAAGGCTTTTGTTCCATCTATTTCAGTAGGCTGCAGAAATGATTCACTTTCCTTTGTTATGTGGTGACACCAAGTTCTAGATATCACACAGCAAAAGCCAGCATAATGTGGTACCAAAGGCCACTGCAATGAAGATGGAAAAAGTCACGTCTGTGACTGGGAGCAGCTCTGGACCAAAACCAAGCTGATAATCTGTATAAATGAGCCAAGAATCAAACCTTCCCTTGTGGAGAAGGCATTACTTTCCTTTAAAGAACTAGACCAGATTTCTTTGCCTTTTTGCAGCTATCCTGTAGCAAGGGAGACAGCTGTTGTCTTACTAAAATGTAGTCCCCAGGATTTACCTCCATAGCTGCCAGCCCGTCTCTGCAGCACCCTAAATCACTGAAATAGGTTGTCTGTTTTCTTCAAATAAAAAACAATATACTTAACCAACTTTCTCAGCTAAATGCTAGTTTACCAGTTTTAAGAACATCCTGCCAAACAGGGTCAAGATGAAAGGTCTCTCTAGTCCATTGTCCTGTCTCCAACAGTATCTTTGGCATTTTTGTACTATTAAGTAGAAAAGGCCTCAGTAAACTTTTCTTCAATTAATTTTTCTAGTCAGTTTTTGAAACCATGCAAACATTTAGCATCTATTGTGGTTTTTGTAAGTTAATGTCATTAACATAGGTTAATTACACAGTGGGTGAAGAACCCTTCTCTTTGTTTTGAATGCAAGTGTTTGCTTTAACCATATCTTTACTCCTCATGCACTAATTGTCTTTGTACCTGACAATTTGGCAGAGGGACGCCGTTTTCTTTGGTAGCAGCAGGAGAAGAACTATTTGTGAGTCCTGCCAGGAGTCAGAGGCTGCAACAGAGGGTGCAGAACTTAAATCAGCACTAAGATACGTCATTGCAAATGAGCATAGGCTGTGTCACCTGTTCCCTTCCCACTCTTTTTTTTTGGGAGACAGTGGGTACGGCTTTCTAGTTCCTGGCATGTTTATCACATTGAGGTGTGAGGTATAGTTCACCTTTCAGGGACTGCTTTTTTCAGCCCCAGGCTCTTTCTTAGGACATAGATTTGAAGGTGCTGATGATGCGTCTTCTTTCTCTGCTACTTTCTAGTTGAGCTCATCTATCAAATGTTCTTTTTGGAATAAATCTGCCTGCTTATGTTGGCAGCATCCACACTTGCAACAGGAGTCCTTTTGGATTTCACGAATGATTGATAGGAACTCTGTAAATTCTTCATGTATTCTTCCCCATCTCCTCTGTGTTGTACTCCACAGGTACACTCAGCTAGTGAATATAGCTGTCCTGGACCTTTTATCTGTGGTTTGTGCTTCCTCTTCTAAAAGAGTACATAAGAAGGACCAGATTCTGATTGGAGAAATTTTTGTTTGCAGCGCTTCTTTCTTGAAATAGGGATCTCAGAGCGGAGCAGGTGGAATTTGTTACTTCTGGATTTAAGCATTTAAGCTGATACTGATACATTAAGGAAAAAGCTTTCTTAAAGGCTGGCCATATATTTTTTGTGTGTCATCCAGTCCTTCAAATAATCTGGCAACTTTCCTTTTTGCTAGAAGAACACAGATCATAGAATCATAGAATGCTTTGGGTTGGAAGGGACCTTTAGAGATCATCTAGTCCAACTCCCCTGCAGTGAGCATGGGCAGCTTTAGATCAGGTTGCTCAGAGCCACGTCCAACCTGGCCTTGAATGTTTTTAGGGATGGGGCCTCCACTACCTCTCTGGGCAACCTGTTCCACTGCTTCACCACCCTCATTGTAAAAAATTTCTTCCTTTTGTCTATTCTAAATCTATTCTTCTTTAGTTTAAAATCATTACTCCTTGTCCTGTCAAGGACAGATGGAATACTGAGATGCTACTGACTCACATAAATCCATCATTATTATGCTGCAAGGTGCCCTAGACATTTACTACCCACTCCCATGCCACTACAGCTGTGTCATCATGCATTCCCTATCATTCACTACAAGGTAAATAGATTTATAGGTGCAATTCTTAAGGGCAAATCTTCATTCAGGCAAGGTCTCCCATGCTATTGTATGTTCACTTGAACTATTTCCTACACCTTCCAGACAAAAATAATTTCATTTAGTTCATTAGTGTTCCTAATAGGTCACAGTGAGATCTCCTACAAAGGTGTTAAGAGTTAGTGTGGAGACAGGCCTGGCCCTGAACTCTTCAACATCTCCTGTCTGAAGCCCAAAGTGAAGTTGCTCTCAGAAGTTTGAACTACAGCTTCTTGCTCCAGCCCGGTTGTCATTACCTTTACTTTATTTTATATTCAGTGAAGGACTTTCAAATTGCCTGTCCTGGCAGTCTGCTGTTTTGGATGAGTGGATGTTAGATGCTGTCTCCTAACTTTATAGAATTCAGAGTTGCATTGTTACTAGCCCCCTGATTTCTCCATCCCTATGCATTTTCAAGATTTTTTCCCAACAGAGTGCTTTGGCAGGAGGCAAATGTCAGAAAGTGCAGAACTGGTGCCTATTGGGCAGGAGCTTTGTAGTAAAGAAAAAGAACAACGGCTGGAGTACTTTTCCCAAGATGTGAATGTGTCTGTTTAGAGATTAAAGTTCACACAGGTGACATTTGCAGTGGTAGTGCTGTTGTGACTTTATCAGGGTACTTGTTCAATTTCTTGACCTGCAAGATCTGGCCATACATTGGAAGTATCTCCATTTTGCCATGGATCAAGGTAATTTTCAAAAAAGGAGTCTTTTGTTTGTCCTGTCTGTGACACCACGAGTTTTCTCTGGGATCTTGGCACCAGCTATGGCATACTTTGAGGCAGTTGTGCCTTTTATGGATAAATGAAGGTATATGTCACAAGCAGAATGGGCATTTCTGTAGATCCACCCAGGGTTTTATAGTAATTAATATTTGGCAGTTGGTATCCATGGTAGTGAGTGCACATATAAATAATGTATCTCGAAGAATGGGAGCATTTTTCTTACAATTTGTTTTGTTGTTGTTTTATATTTTAAGTTTTGCAAAATTAGAATAATTCCTATTCTTTAAAGAGTAGGCCTCAAATTCTCAAGTTATAGTCTGCCTTTCAGGCCGTATTTTATAGTACCTGACAGAAGTACAATTGCTACGTATGCTGCCAAGTGAAACATATACAAGGACTGATATTTACTCGGTATTCCCTTTTCTTCCTAGATCTCCATCTGCTGGTAGATGTAGCTTGCAAGCAGGGGTGCTTTCCGCAGGAAGAAACAAGAGAGTGAGAAGTGGGTGACAAGTATGTGAAAATGTGCAGCAGCTGCCAGCTGGGTTCCCTTGTCAGACTCCAGCGGCAGTGGTTTGCACACAATGGGCACTTTGGATCATTTCAACTGCATTTTTGGAAAAAAAAAGAACCAAACAACAAAAACTCTATTTTTTTTTTTTTTTGCTTTAACTTTAACTTTGTAGGGTATTAGTTGCTCCATTTTTTACACCTCTTCCATTACATTTCTGCCTGTCAATTTATAAAGCATCTAGTGGTCAGAGTATTTAATATGAAGTAATTACTTAGCTGCTTGTATTCTTTAGATATGGGAAGTCTGAACTTTTTGTAAACAGGAAGCCTTAAAAACTTACTCAAAACTTTCTTAGTGGGAAGCAAATTGGTTTTAGTGCTGTATTTGGAATCTTTTTATTTAACATTGTTGGAAGCTACAGTATACTCGGCATAGATGGTGTTTGGTGCTCTCACTGTCTTTGCTTGAAGTCATACTGTGGCCCTTTACTAGGAATTGTGTATGAAACAAAAGCGTAGGAAAGTCACAAGATTCTAGGTCGGAATGGGTCAGGGATTTCAGGAGAGCAGCTATAGGAAAGATGAGCTAATTTTCTGAGTGATTAACCAGGAAATGCTCTTCCTTCCTATACCAATGCTCTGCTTCAGCAGCAAGTGTATCCTTTCTGGTGGGTATCCGTTACATATGACAGCTGCTGATCTTTTACATTAATGGGGAATTCTTCTGGTTTAATAATTTTCCTTTGATTCTAATGGTATCTGTAATGCTAAGTTATTTGTTGTTTTAGTACTTTGTTTTAAATAGGTCTTCAAAATAAATTTTTAACTTTTAAAATATGATTGTATTTATATTGATAGTAGATCTTAAGTTTTTAATAGATGTGCATTTGTATTTATGTTAAAATACTATTTGAAGGATAAAGGGGGAATATTCTGTATTTGTGGTGTTAGGGAAATACATGTGGAAGAGCACTTAAAACATAAATTTAATTGCTTCATGCATGTTCATACTTCTTTTATAGTTAATTAGAGCCAGCCCTGAGCAAAATGCACAAGAAAGGAGCAGAGAGAATTTATCAGGACCACTTCAGTTATGCCCTCCAGAGCTTTGTGTAGCTTCTAGCTATGGTCAGGATGTCCTAAGTGAACACTGAGCGGTAGGATGAGCTGAGGCGAAACCTTTAATTATTCACCAGCAGTCCAAACTAGACAAATGCAGTCTGAGGATGCTTTTAGGTCAGGTGAGTGGGCGTGTTACCATACTGATTGTCCTTGGATTTGTTATTCGTTATCATATATTACATATGTGCAGTGCAATTCCAGTTGATGTGAGTAGTGAAAGGCTAGGTGCTTACATTCAAATCCTCCTCCTCAAATGAAACAATGTGGAAAGCATTTCTAAATGAATGAGAGTATTCAAGTGGTTAAAGGGAAAAGATGTGTGATAACATTGCTGCAGCTTTGTCACCAGAGTTTGGTTTTGTGCTCCCCAGCTGATGTGGCTTGAGACCGTTGGATAATATGCCATGGAAATAGTGGACGGGTCCATATGTCCTGTGGTAGTTTGTGCCATTAATAGTAAGAGGGTTTGAGACCATCAGTCTAGCCTTCCTGGTTTCAAGGTGCAAGGAGATGGAGATTACAGGAATTCAGCCTTATCAAACTGGAGCTGCTACCTCTTTAATTCAAATAAAATGCAAAGGGAACTTCTTAGCTTACCTTTCTTGCTCCTGTTTACCACCAAAAGATTTGATACTTTCGGAGATTTAAGTTAGGGGAGCCTTAGTGTCTTAATGTTCTGTGATTCTGAAGACAAATGATGAAATCTTAGTATTAAAAAATTTTAATATGCTAATTTTAAAAGGTTATGGAGCTGGATCTCCTGCAGTACAGCACTTTCAGAATACACGTGCATGTAAACTATCCTTAACCAACTCACTGACGTATTGTGAGAGAGCACAGGAGAAAGGGCACTTGCTACTTCGGGAAATCAGTATAATATTGCACAAAGCCTCACAAGTCTCAGGTAACTCTAGATTGAACGTCTAGCATTTCAGCACCTTAATGTGGATATACTTCAGCCAGTAAATAATAATAAGTAACTTCTGTAAAGAGATGTTTTTAATGATATTCTTGTTAATGGGAATAGAGTGGGATTTGTTTTACCTGGAAGATGTTCTTTTATACCCTGACTTAGGCAGCATGGTTGCAGCAATCTGCAATAAATTAAACTTTTAACCTGAAATGGGTGTTGCATTTATATTTTCTCTGTGTTTTAAATTACAAATGATGGAGTATTATAGTTGAAAAAAATGCTTTACGTTCAGTAGTTCTTGCTGACACTTTTATCAACAAATAACCATTACCATACGGACAAGTTTTAAAAAAAACCAAAACAGTGGTCCAGGTCTTTGCATGATTTTTAATTTCTGTGGAGTGACTCCAGGGATTAGTTTGGTTGCATGTGTTACAAAAAACCCCCTTATTAATGCATTTGCTTTCCTGAACACACTTTTCCATGAGCACTGGGAGCGACAGCGAACGATTCCCAGAACAGCTGGATGGATCATACGCTTTCTGCGCACGGTGCGTTGTTTTTGCATTAATTTCTGAGTGCCCTCTTGAAGCACCACTCCATCACATGCCGATTTCCAGATTTCCAGTTGCGACCTTACTTTGAGGTTATAGGTCTGACCTATAGTATTATTCACCTCTCAGTGATGTCAGAGGAGAATAGCAGTTGAATTCCAGACCTCTGACATCAGCCTGACCTGAAACCTCCTCGCAGTAGCAACTCGAAAAGGGCTACTGAATCTAAATTAGCGAGAGCCGAAGAAAGGCAGCGCGTGAAATGGCCAGAGCCCTTCCCAGGGCCGGAGGCACAAGGCTGCAGTGAATCGG